ACTCACTACCTACACACACATTATTCCGTCACGTTGTCACCCTCTTATATATATACCAGGCTACCCTATATCTAGTAATCTCCCGACTATTCCCGAAGGTTCGAAAGAAGTGGCGTGACCTCGCTGACGCAACAATACTTACTAATCCTTGTTTTCTTCCTTTTCACTATCTTTCAGGCACGGTATGGACATTCTTTATCGCCGACCTGGCCGTAAAGCGGATTTTATCGGGGTACTCCCGTTCTCCCCCACAGCAACATTTTTCCTTGAACTAAAGTTTCTGACCGCCCCTGGTTATCTTTCAGGCCCCTACGGGGTCTATGAGATGTTAACCAAAATAACTGCCAAGATTGGATTTGGATCATTTGGTTCTCGAACATATGTTTACACTCGCGGGCGCTGCGTTGCCAATGCTATCAGCACTGTTACCACGACTAAGCAAAGATGCGGAGATTGTACCTTGGTCAAGTCGTGATCATACTCTAACAGACAAACACACCCCTACCCACCACTCAATTTTTTCTTCGGATTTGCACAGTTCGGTCTCAAAAATGTTATTTTGGACCTGTATCCGTGGGTTTCCCACGTTTATAATAAACCGTTATTAGTCTTTACAGCAGAAGTAACTGGGCAAGATAAACCCAGTCAAAAACGCACATTTCTGTCACAATTAGACAACATGCAGAGAACTTTAAAATCTTTGCCCTTCGCAATATACTTTATAATGTTTTACTGATGAGAACTACTTACATGTTTTTATGAGGGAAGATGGCACATAAGCATTATAAATTTACTAGCAGCTCAGGTCACTGTCTACTACAGATTTTAGTGGGAGGATGGGTGTTAGATTCATTTTTATGAGTTAAGATGGTATATAAACAATATCTAGGAGCTTATATCATTGATAGATACATGATTTTACTGCGAAGATGGCAAATAAAGAAATATCCAGATACATATTTTTTCATTGGTAATACGAGCATTTTCTTGAAGAAAGGTGGCAGCAGCATCGTAAATGGCAAATCACTGCTTTCTCTGTCGAAAAATGAGAGTTTGGGATATTTTGTGAAGGAATGTGACAAAGAAGAGCTACGAAGAATGATTTACTTATTATTGTTGTTTCACTAGTAAAATGGATATATCAATATACACTGGCCTTCGACGTTATTGTGCCTCCTTCATGATCATCAAATACTGACTCGGATAAATATTTTTCAAACTTTTGAATCTTAATATTTGTGTTATTATAAAACTTCTGCATAAAACAGATTAGTTTCTTACACTCACAGCTGTATATGCACTAGGTATTCTTTTGCAAAATATTAGTTGTGTTTTTCAGTGTAGTATACAATAATCCTGTTGATTGCTAATCATCTTTTCAAGTGCATTTATTATGTGCGTGATATTTCATTTACGTTCTTCCATAAAGCTCAACATTTCATTTTGAAATATTTCCTATTCTATCTTTATGTAATACAGCTCTATGGAATAGTGTGTTTTGGTTAAACATAAACTAGATATTTGTTAGCCACCGTTAAAAATATGTATTTTTGGTGTAATTGATGTTCCTTTTTAATTGTTTTCATGTTTTGTAAAGCACCTTGTTAGTAAACAGTGCTCTGAGCTGCTAGTGTTTATGTGCCACTAGTACCCATCTTTCCAATAAGAATATAACGTAAACAGTAATCTGAATGAGCTGCTAGATAGTGTTTCCATCTTCCCTCATAAATAAGTCTAACACCCATCTTCCTGGTAAAAAGCTACAGTATTCAATGATCTTTTTTGCTAAACAGTGTTTACTATTAGATTAATACAATGTTTTCTCAACAAAGAATACACACAATAATAATTTATATATATATAAATTGGAAATTCACATACAAATTCAACTCATAACCTTATATAGAGATGTGTGTTTGAGGGAGTGGGGGCAGCAAACCCACTTCTGTACATGGGCGGTCAAAAAGTATAAAACAGACCTGATTTGGACAGCTGTCTAATTCCCAAATATCCAACATTTGTCACAGTGCCATCTATTGATAATTATTTCTATTGCAACCAATCATCCTTTCAATAAGACCCTGTATAAATGTGCATTCTTAAATCAGTACAAACTTCTGTACTTCTAAAGTTAGTGTTTCATGGCATAGACAAAAAAATCATGAAACAATCAAACTATGATTAATTTTATTTCTTAACTCAGTCATTAGACATAACAAGAACAAAGCCAGTTGTTCTTCATTGTATATACACAACAAAAAGCATCATACCCCATCTATTCACACACACACACACACACACACATATATATATATAT